GCTACAACCTTTCTCACAGTGGAATGTCCTCCTTCATTTTGAGAGAGGAAGGTTATGTGATATAAGAAGTTGGCCCATGAGGACAGCAGCTGAGATAATGCCTGAGTCAGCTGAGGTGGTTTAGGGCAGAGCTTCCAGAGCTTACAAGCACTCTCAGCAGTGCTTTTACTGTTCAGTTTGCATTTCTGCTTTAGGTTGAGAGGTAGAATTTTCTCTCAAAAGGCGATAGCTCAGTGACAGCCTTCTCAGAGTGAAGGTGCCAGTGGCAAAAACCATTCAGCCACAGGCTTTTGCTTGGTGTCCCAGAAGAAGACAGTAGTTCTCTTTTTGCAGGCCTCACATATAACAAGCTTACCCAAACTTTAAAACAAATAAACAAACAAACAAAACTAGTAATAGGAGGTGTCTCATCCTCTGCTGCGGTAACAAGGTTAAACTATTCAAGATGTCATCACCGTTCTGAGTGGTGCCTCTGGTTACGACAGCTCTGACACAGGGAGGGAAAACTCCTTTTGGAAGTGCCAGGACATGCCTAGCAGTGCCGATGCGTAATGTTTCCTGTTATCATGGGATCTTTCATTAAATATGATGGGAAAACAGCGTACGTCACGCTAGGAAAGCTGTCCCCGCTCTGTGTACTGTGGCTGCAGCCCGCGAGGTGGCAGAAGGAAGCGGGTGTCATTGCAGGCTCAGCCCCCTCAGGCTCTGCGTCTCTTTGTAACTGGTATTTTGAATTTTGAAAAGGAAGGCAAGGGAAAAACCAACTGAAGAGGAGAAGCACGTTTAATTTTCATGTAAAAACTTTCCTGAGGAGAAGAGGATAAGCTACTAAGAGGATTATTTATAGAGAATTGCAGAAAATAAAGTGGTGTTTTAGCTCCCTTTCAGCACCATGTATTTCAAAAAGGTAAGGCAAGTAATCACAACAGCCAGGAGTTATTTCATGCCTCCTTGTGAAGCAATGACTGCCAAAAAGGTGCTCACAGACAGTTCTGCTGCAGTAGAAATGGGCACTTTATCAAACCAGCTCCCTACCAAGCCCACCTGGCCTGTATGTTTATTGACTTGCTTACTGACCAGATCCATATGTGGTGGTAATTAGTTAACAGACTCAAGCTTCAGCCCTTCAGTCTCACACATATTCGTATCCTGACAGAAAGCAATATGTTAATTTATCCAGGAATCAGCAATCATCCTCTCAAGCTCCAAGAAACCCGGGTCCCAGTGAAGCTTCTGGGGGAATCTCACCACCAACTTCCACACACAGACAGTAGTGATCTCTTTAGAGAAGACAAAGTGGTTGAATTACGGAATGGCATCCCCTATGCTATGTACTTGGGGAGGGTTTGCTTCCCGGCTTCCTGACTCATACAAACACCTAGTCTCACGCTGTATTGCAAAGGACTTTTAAACCACAGGTGCAGGATACTACTCTGCTCAGTCTGATAGCTCAACAATGTGACTCTACTATTAGTTTCCTGGAAAATGACACAGAAAAGAAGAATAGTCTTCTTAATCCCCCTGCTTAGAGCAAGGGAGGGAGGTCACTATGAGCTCATCATGTCTCAGACAGCAGAGGACCTCTGCAAAAGACGTTCTGTGTGGCTGCTGCCTGTGCAACCCTGTGTGTGCCCCAAAGGGAAGGCCGTAATGAGAACTCATGCTGCTGCACCCAACCACAATGCACAACATCTGAGGAAATATGGTTTTATTCAGCCTGTCCCTCACTTCTGTAAGTGTTGCTGCTGGGCTGGGGTCACGTATTGTATTTCCCAGATAAAAGCGGGTGAGGACAGCTTAGACTGTCTTTATAGTAGCTTTTAGACTTCCCATGGACTACAGTACCTTCCTTGCCAGTGCTGCTCTGATGAACTAGGCTTGCTGACCATTACCCAAGGAGTTTTGCTGGATGACTGAGCTGCCTCTGCTCTGGACCCCTTGGAAACAGGGCCCATGGCCCTTGGTCCTCACCAGCTCACCCTGCAATGCCAGCCCTGCGCACACAACCTGCCAAAAGCCCTTGAGGAAGGGATCCCCTTTGCTATGAGGCTATTGCGTTATTTCTGCTCTATATTCCCTTTGTTAACATAAACGTCCATAAAGCTTCCCATCAGCAGGCTGATACCGCCTCCTCAGGTACTCGCAGTGCTCCTGGCAGATCATGCATGAAGCACTCATCACTGGAAAATGTTGCTCCTCTTGGTGCTCTTCGGCTACCAACTTGGGTTGTTCCGCCTTTGAAAACCGTAAGTCCTTCCCAGTGGGGCTAGCCTGGGTGCTTTTCTATCACTACAGAGCTTCGTACACTTACAGCACCACTGTGTAATTAACATTGCCATCACTTGCTGATGATCTTCATTTCTTTCTCTTGTGCTGCAATTTTGGGCTAACGCAGATATCCCCAGAAAAAGATGACTATAAGGTCATTTGTATCTGAGAGTTTCTTTGGATTTAGTGACAGTGCCAGCTAAGAAATCTGTTTTCCCATGCATTTATAGTTGGATTCTCTGGTGTCCAGCAAGACACAAACTCCTACCAAAATTTGTATGGGTAGGATGCAATGTCTCTTCCATGTAGATTCTGCAGTGTCTGAGAGCAAAACTTGCAGAGCAGCTTGCAGGGCCCAGGGAGGATTCTGTGTGCATGGATGGCTGCCTCTGCTGATGAACTGCTCCCTCAGACTGTGACTGAAATCAGCAAATAGGCCCAAAACTGCTAGTGGGACAGACTGACTGGTTGCATAAGCTTCCTTTCCATGGGAAAATGCTCCAGAAGAATACATGGTCAGACCAACTGTGTACATATTGCTAACTACACTCTGAGTAAGCCAATTTACCTCAGCCAGTCTGGTCCTGTCAACAAAATGTAGCTACTAATATAGGAGCTGTGCCAGTAGAGCCTAAGTAGCTCTGATAACATTGTGCATGGAAAAGAAAGGATAAGATAAAGTCAACTGAAAGAATTTAAAGCCGGGAAAGATCTGAGACTGAAGTGAAGTCTGGCTACAGTCAGGAGACCTGCACTCAGCTGAGCTCTTCTATTTCTTCTATTTCTGCAGCAGAAAGAGAAGATTTGCAAGCCCTGCGCTTGCAAAGGCTCCCCCCCAAGAGGAGAGTCTGCTGGGGACTGATCGCTCCTCCTGAAGAGAAAGCCCTTATCAAAAAGCAGTCATCATCTTAATTGCTGCCTCTGTCTGTTGGCAACAGAGAAAAAATCAGAGCTACTTCTGAGTTAGTGAGCTTGCACAGACGGGGCCAATGGACTGCAGAGGCAACACCAGCGGATGTTGTACTAGGAATAAATTGGACTCTATAGCTTGAATAGATGCCAAGGATCAAGTTTGATCTCCAAAACAGCAGCTAACAGACCATGAAGAGAAGTTGGCAGGAAAAGGCAGCAATCAGCTGTCAAGAGCTGCTACACGTCCGGATGAGGAGCTCGGGGCCAGGTACTGCATTCTCGCACTATGTGCAAGCTGCAAATGAACAACTGCAACTCTTCTAAATTCACCTGTGAGGCTTCCAGAAAATGCTAGACACAGACAATAGCATTCAAACTGCAGAGGTGAACTGGATTTCTCCCAGAATTCCTGTATCATATCGAACCAGGTCTAGTAGAAGGTGTCCCAGTCCACTGGGGGGAGGTGTGTGGAACTAAATAATCCTTAAAGATCCCTTCTAACCCAAACTATTCTATGATTCTATAAAACTTCCTCAAATAGAGAGCAGAATCAGAGAGGAAGCCAAGTGCAGCTGTTGTCTGAGTGCTTGCTATGCACCTAATGCTAATGGACCTGTGCATGTGTGCCAGCAAGCAATGCAGCCCATAGTATTACGTAGGATTATCTCTTAGGATGCCTTGCGAGCAAATCAAAGTTCAGAAATTCTTAGTTCCGCCTTCCTTACATCTTAAAGAATAATGTTATTCATAGCTGACATTATCTGTCAGGACACTACTTCTGTCCTTGTTTAGACTAGGGCTGGCTAAGGCTCTGCTGTGACGTGTCACTCAACTGCTATTAGCCCCATTCAAAGCCAGTGACTGAAGCGTAGTAGTGGAGACATTACTGGAGAGCAGCTACCTCAAAGGGGTCGGTCTGGATCTAAGTTCTCTAGACTCTGCACTGTCTCCAGTAGAGACTTTCATAGCAGGCTGGAACATGTTCACTAACACCAGGTTTATTCAGCCTGGGCTCAGTCCTTCCTTTGAAGAATGGATACTAGATACTTTCTGAGGACTACTGGTATTATGCTGGATATTATTGCCATGATCTTTCTGTCACAGCATAATGGAACAGCTGCTTCCCCCTTGGGGTCTAAGGAACAGCTTGAGGCCTTTTCCTAGAGGCCATCTGACATTAGTCAAATGGGCCATTACTAGACTGTGCCAGGGCAAGTACCTTAATGCTACAATCTGCTGTCTCTTCTGTCACCAGCAGCGTAAGAGCTGCAGCACACAGGAGCAGATAAGCTTTCTACTGTGTGACAAGCTGGTTCATCATTTCCGCTCCAGTAAATGTCACTTGAAACTCTTCAAGATTCACTATGGGTAGGTGAGACAAAAGGCGTAAGTATACTTGCTGGTTTAGTATCCTCTGGTCATCGTGCTTTGTCCTCATTGCTAAACCCAGATATTTTGCACTGAGAAGGTTGCTGGCAGAAGTGATTGCAGGTTTCCACAGGCACAATGCCCAGGGCAGGATGCTGATGGGTCGGGGTTTCTGTGTGTTTTGCAGCATGTCCCAAAGAGACTGCAGCCATGTTTAATGCCACCACTGAGATTTAAGACTGTAGCTATCCCATCATGAAACAGCTGAGGGCAGAGGTTCCAGCATCTGAAGATGGTGCACGCCACAGGACCATAAGAAACCAGAGGTGAATAGTGAGCCTGCCAACTGTGCCCTTCCCCAGTTTTTCAGCGTTGTCATATAATTCTCCCCAGTGGCTCTGAACAAATTCACAGACTTGACCAAAGCCTCTTCTCATGCCTGGGCTGTGCATCCTTCCATCTCCTCCTCTTTCCCAAGACAAACATTTCTGCCTTCTCTGCAGGCAGGTGTGGTAAAAGCCACCTCCAGTGCTGAGCCAGCAAAGCCATACGTTCTTTCCCTTATCATCACTGTTTGTCCAAGTACCTCTCCCTCAGCAGCAGCTCTCTGAGCAAGGGGAGCCACAGGCTCTCGAGCTGCATAGAGCACAAAGGTCATATCCTGACCCAGGCCAAGGTCTAACTGGTGGAGTTCTGAGCTGCAGAAGCCTGTAAGGAGAGTTAGCAAGGCTCTGTGCTGGCACAGGGCTGTGGCTTAGAGTGATGAGGAAGAAGGGATTTGACCTTCAGAGTAGCTACATCAGCCTGAGCCCTTCCATCAGTCTGTTTTATGTGCAAAGCTGTATCTGGGTACTGCTGGAGGCTTCCAAGACAACAGTAGTGTCGAAGTATCCACAAGAGTTGGTGAACATCAGGCTTTGATATTTTCTTCTTGGAAACTTTGCCTGACATACAGGAAGGGTCATCCAGAGAAAGATCTGGGCAAGACCCTCAGTGGCTCCAACAGGATTGCTGGACACCAGTGGGACCTGCACCTGATCACTCTGAGGGGCATGTTGAGTCTGTAGGGTATGTTGCCCGAGTCCTGCATGTTGACAGCATAGTCCTAGGAAGCCAAGAGAGAAATACAGGTGTCCTGTTTATGCAGTCTAACTGAAACCATGGGAACAGACTTGGATGTGACTATACAAAATCTCAAAGAATAACTGTAACTGGGAAGCCATCCTTGGTGCCATCCTTTTTACTTGTGTTGGTGCCACACGGACCTCTCCTTAGCAAAACACTATTCAATACTAGCTCAGGTTCTTCCGTTTATTTAGGAAAAAAGAAGGATCTGATCCTGATTAAAAATATTTAAGGAGAAGATTTCTCTCACCAAAGAACTCTTTATAGTATCAGACAAAAAAAAGAGAAGCCACAAGCCTGGGAGATCATTACCAGTCTAAATTTATCTTGCTCAAAGGTGCACATTTTTAAATAGGGTGAATTGTGCAAAGGCTCAGGCTGTGCTGGCAGCTTTTGGATTGAGCTTTGCACAGCTGGAGCTCTTTTTCACTGTGGATGTTGGGACACGGGACAGTGCCAGGAAGAGCCTGCAACAGCTGGTTTGAAGAAGGGTACACTGGGGATGCACGAGCACAGGCTCAGATGCAAGGATGGTAAGGGGCTGCAGGCTTGGTTTGAGAATGGAGACAGATTGTAGCAGGCAGGTCTTGAAGCTCTATACCTGTCTAAGCATGAACAGGATCTGGCCTTTGTTTTCTTAACTGGTCTTTTTGCCCATGAAAGCATTGTAAAGGACACCTCCCCACTTGGACAGACATGCAAGTCTCCAGCACCAGGCACTTCCATTTCGTTGTAATTTTTCAGCCAGCTTGCAAGAGCAGTTTTTCAAATGAACTTTAGACACCAGCAGTCAGCTTAAAATGAGGTTTGGTTTTTGTTTTTTTTCTCTAAACCAAGTAGTTTAAATGAGAACTTTAAATTATTCTAGCCTAGTAAATACTTCTGTGCAAGGTCTGTACCTAATGGTACCTCATAACTAGCTCTTGTTTCTTTTCAGCTCTGGGATTCTCCTTGAAGTGTTACTCTGTCTTGCCAGATTAGAGATGTGCACTGAATGTTTTCACAGAAGCATAATTCATCCTTGGTTTCCTTCTGCAGTTTTCAAGCAAAGGCCAGGCTAAAGGATGGAGTGAAAAATCAGCCCTCTGCACATGCTGCTCAGACACCAGCCACATATATAGCAGGAAAATAGATTTCCTTTCCTCCATCCCCTGGCAGTCCATCTTAAGAGTAAATGTTCGAGACATGACTTGTGGGCTTCGTATATCCACTCAGCTGCAGTAATTCTGACTATGAGCATGGTCACTCGTGGTCATGGTCACCGTCACCACCATGCTGGTTCCACTTCACTGCCCTACAGGTAATGTCTTTTACTTCTATATAGCTGCCATCTTTTGGTGTTGCTGGCTGCTTCCAGGAACGTGTTTTCTGTTCTGCTCCCACAACCCATAGCGCATTGCTCTGCTGCAGCACTTTGGGACCTTTTGCAGGCAGCAATTGGATCCAGTGGCCCTCCAGGGGAATCATTCCCCTGATTTCTCTTGCCAGGTCCTATTTATCCACCAGTGTGTGAGCTACACCTTGCTATGTTGAAGGTGCTGTCGGCTGCGGGCAGGAAACACTGGCTATCAGAGCAATCCTCACAGCTCAGTTTGAAGCAGGCTGTTTGGATTCCTGCCTTTAAGTCATGCAGTGGCTTCAGTGAGTGAAACGGGGCACCTGAAAAGGAAAAAGTTGAAATGCAACAGATGTTTCTCGCTGATCTCTTCCTGAAGCAGCAGACTCTTGGGGCTGAACCAGCACTGCAGACCTGGGAAAACCAGCAGTGTGTGTGGCACTTCCAATGTCCAACGCTGCCTTCCTTCCACGGGGAACATCCTGCAGCTGCGGAGCTCTTTCCTGTGTACTGACTCTCCCTGCTCATTCTGGTATGTGTCATTGTGGGATGTACCTTTGGCCTATGCTTCCCTGCACAGCAGGATTTTACATGCTATTTAGACAGCAGAGCTTCTCACCCTGCCCTGAGCAGTTCTAGAGTTGCAATGAAATCTGCACGTGGAAGCCTGAATGACAGATGGAGAGGCTTGCTGTGGATGAGAAGTAAATGCCCCTTCCACAAGGTACAATAAGCAACTGCCAAAATATTTGCTTGTATGTGGGCGGAGTCTTGCAGATGGGCTAAAGAAGGAAGCAAGAAGAGCTGATGAATGCCTTGAGCCACCTCAACACAGAGGCATCTCTGGGATGTTCAGTCACTCAGAGGCACAAACTGAGGGATGTACTGTCCTCCTCCAGGCTAGAAGCAAGTTGTCAACAACGTTGGCATGTTTGTGAGAGATTTTAATCACAACTGCTGGCATATTTTAATATGCACACGACACACTGTGAGGATTTTTTTCATGCTTCATACCTGTATTTATTGGTGGAGGGAGGGAAATCTCGGTATTACTAATTAGTTAATTTAAAAAGTATGTATGTATTTGTTTTTTAGATAAGGCAGGGACTGGACATGTACAGGACTCAAAAGCATCAATGGAGGGCACACGCAAAAAGGGAATAAGCACATCAGGTTAATTGCTGTGCATTTAAAAATAGAAGCTGTACATAATGCTGTGCAAAGCTAAAATCTACTTTAAACTGTTTATACAGAACAGAAGTGTGTGTACTCAAGGTCTCCAGTTTGTCTATGTGGGTTGGTCAGAAAAGTTGTGACATGCTGAGAAAGGCATTTGTGCCTTGGGTTTCTTTTTTCAGCAAAAGCCACATCCAACAAAATGGATTTGAAAGAGGAGAGACTGCAGAATACCTCAAGGTCACAAGGCAATCTTTGCCCATGCTGTCCAGGAGGTGTATATACGCTGCCAACCTTTGAGGAACGCCATCTCTGAGCTGAGTGGCTCCCCCTCTGATATTCTTCACAAGCTTGTTCCTCAAGCCCTCTCTGTTTTTGTCTCTCGAAGGATGCGGGCAGCTCCATGGTGCATCCTACCCTTAACATTTTTTTTCCCTTCCCTTCCAATGGAGAGACACATTCACTGAAGCAGCAATGTCCATGCTTGTGGCAAAGGGCCAGGAGCTACAGGAGGGGAAACAAAAAAGAAGAAAAAGAGAGAAAGGACAATTAGTTGTAGTGTCTGTGCCAGCAAAAGCAAACCAACACAACACCACAGCCTACCATCAGCTTTGGGACACCCTTCCCTGGGTTTGTCCAAAGTTAAGGTTTGCTGACAAAATTATTTCCACAGTCTGCCTTGTTGCACAGGATCCTGAGTGTGCAGTAGGGGTAAGGAAGAAGGGACTGCTGATTCAAGTTCTGGAAAAGGTTAACAAACACATCAGCATCTTGCAGGCTGCCAGCTCACTGGGGGTGTGGAAGAAGAGGGAACTCTCCTGCTAGGAAGATAATGTCTCTCTTGTTTATGTGCTTCTGAAGTCCACCCATGGGAGCATGAGTAGAGTGAGCAGCACAGGGATGCTGGCAACATGGTGGACATCACGTGAGGTTGTCCTTGTTCTGGAGGATGTCACCCATCAGGGGACACTCCAAAACAAAGAGACTGTTCAGAAAGGCAGCAGGCAGACAAGGAAAAGATGCTGCATTGCTGCTAATGTGGCTGATCCCTCAAAGCTATTGTGTGAGTGGAATGGTATTGCAAGCCTGAGGTGCCCTGCCAAGACAGCTGTGTTGTTGTGCCAGCTTCCTCCTAAAACAGAGGATGGTCTTTGGCTTTCCTTCCCATTCTGTTCACTTTTCTCTCCCCTCCCCCTTCTTTTTCCATTTTTAAGCCTTGCAGATCAGTATACTGTGCAGTACAAAACACCTAGCTCTACAGTAGCACTCAGAAAGATGCATACCCTCATGTGCCTTAAAATATTTCTTTTATACGTATGCATTTGGTATCTTTTCATGACAATGAAGAGCTAAGAATTTATTGAATCTGTAAACCAAATATATGACTTAAGATCTCACTCTTTTTTTTGTATTTGACACCATAGCAATTCTAGGCAAGCCCATGAGATGCCAACATCCCAGCTCAGTAGAAGCAGCACACAGCCATCAAGGTCAGTGGGGGGCCAGGGAGTTATGTTGTATCAGGGAGGTGTGAACTAGATGTACCAGCGCTGAAGATGTGGTTGTGAAAAATGCCTTTACAGGGAAAAGAATGGTATGCTAGTGCATGGAGGGAAGAGGTGAAATTCTGTAAGGCAGAGAAAGGGTGAATGAGCAAAACGCTACCTTGTCAGGCCTCTGAGCTAGGTTAAGTACTGCCGCAGCATGTTTTACATCCAACAGTGCATAAGTGCAGAGGATTCCAGCGTGTCTGGGGTTCTGCCTGCAACCATGTCCCTGAAATTCAGTGATACTGACCTGGATCTACCACTGCATCAGCTCTGAATACCTTTTGAAAGGATACTGGCTTCAAATTCTGTCTTATGACCTTCATTGCAGAGCCAATCTCTGCTGTTCTGTGTTCTTGTCAATGTTAGTCTTCATCCACAAAATCTGGTGAGATCTCTGTCACTTGTGGGCCCAGCACATGTCCCTGTCCTTGTTCAGACATGGTGAGGGGTCATGGTGGGGCATAGAATGAAATCACTCAATAGGAAGGCACACAGTATCAGCATGTGCACTCCCTGCAAGGTGGTAGCAAAGGGCAGCACTCAGCCGCCAGCCAGCATTTAGCTGGTGAGATGATGCTGGACTCATGCGATGCTGGATCAACAGAGCACGCAAGCAAACAGGCAGGAGAAAGACACAGGCAGTTAAGTGTGGTAGGGAACATGGAATTCCTCCCAAGTGGGAGGACTTGGCAGAGAGGCACAGGAGTTAATCAGGAGATGCAGCCCCACCTATGCTGTTGTGAGCAAACCCGCCCTGCACCTCAGAATGATTGTGTTCAAAATGGGTTCAATAACATGTCTCAAAACATCAGCAGGTTCCTAGAGGGGAACTGGGCTGAGGACACCAGTCACGCTAAGGTGAGCCAGCTCAAACTGACTGGTAACAAAATTTAAGTGTCAGCAAGTTGCTGTTGAGCAGAAACAGGTATTTTGATCTAGTGACAGAAACTGCTCCTCTGTGCATGCACAGAAAATAATGGGGACTAGAATCCAAAGAGATGGGAATAAGCATGAGAATAATGAACAATCAAGATGTTTAAAAAAAATGCTAAACCACAACTAACAAAAACTCCTGCCTACAGCACTGCTCCTTCCAGCTTCCTTTGCTGCTTTCCTCCCAGCAGACTGGCATTTTGCTTTTTCTGGTCATGTTTATCAAATTCACACTTAGGCTTAAATTGGAGCTTTGTTGCTCATCAATTTTCGCATCATGAGAAGGTAATAATGTCTTTTAAAAAAAGTGGATTATTTTTAGAGGCTCCATAAGAACTAAAATGCCTTATCCATACCCATATGGAGCTGTGTTTTCTATGTGTATGACACTGCTACAGATTTCAGTGAATTGTACCCACTGAAACATTTTTGTCTGCCCTGGCTTAGGGATAATAATGAACTCCTTGCATTTGGTCTACCCGTAAATACTGAGAAGCATCCTTCATTTTCACTCTATTTTAATGCGGAATACTCACTGCTGGGGAGGGTTATGAGTTGTTTTTTAAATTAAAAAAAAATCAACAATTAAACAAGAAGCATGCAGTGTATTTCCAGAAATTTTAAGATGCAACATTTCAGTCTAAAGCTTGCATTTATCTTTCATTTTAACTTCCATTCATATACGCTGGCTTACTTCACCTCATGTGGGAGCAACACAGAGCAGAGGAAGTGCATAAGATACATAACCTGCAATTAGGATGGGTTTATTTCACCAGAGCTATGCAAAGCATCCAGTACACAGACTGGCCTTGCCTCCCTACCAGCTCACCACATCCAGCCTGCATCTCTCTGCTCACCTGCACACACGCATGGCAATCTCTTTGGTGTGATAAGTAAATTTCATGCAGGGAATACATGTTGAAAAATTCCTTATTGAGAATAGGAATTTTTCCTTATTCATAGTAGAAATCTCAGCTATAGGGACTTGTGTTCTTTCACACTGGGCTTTTGTTTCCCAGTGGTCTCTTTGGAAGCATCTAAATTGCAGTGCCATGATTTGGGTAATACATGGACTGATGGCGTGACCAGGATTTACAGCACAAAGGGACAAAAGACAGAGCAGTCAGCAGGCAGGCTGCAGCGCCCTGCCCTGCACGAGACCCTCTGATCTCCCCAATGCAGGAAAAGGCTGGGAGACCAGCCATAACTCAGCATGCACTCAGGAGGTGTGCGCTATCTGAAGTCCTCACCCAGCCAGGTGTGTGGCAGTGCTGTAGCACAGAGACAGGATCCTTGAAAGCTGTTTCGAGTTCCACATCTGAAGCCAGCAGTCCTCCTAAAATAGCATCAGGCAGGAAAGAGGCTACTTTTTCACTTGGCAACCCCCCCCCCCAATCAAAGCTAAACCTCATTCTGAAAGCCACCTGCTTCTGAGGACAGAGCCCCAATGCTCACCTCCCCACACATGCACTTGTCACATCCAGACCTACTTCCAGTGGTGTGTCAGATTATCTGCTACAGACCTCCCCTGTAACTGCTGTCATGACTCACAAAGATGGCCCGAAACATTCACTGTACTGCTATAGGGATTTTTGCTGTTGCTTTTTCCTCTCACTCATATGGGAGGGGAACATTAGAATCATTTAACCTGAGCCCCTGTAAAATGTCAAGCCAACAACTCCTAATTCCTCTGCTAAGCGCACTGTTTGTTGTCTTGGCCCAGACACAGAACTGTCAAGACCCTGGGCTTATTTTAAAGCTACAATTGCTCAAACAGCGGCAGAACATCTGAGCAGAGATGCTGCCTCCATTTCTCCTTTTCTAAACGGGTGTATAATCCGAGAAGGCACATTCAGCCTTCCATTCCAATATACGAAATTGTCAATAAAGTGATCCTTTACCCTTCTTCACACTGCCTGCCTACATCTCTATTCCTGCAAGCTAGGACCTTTCAAATCACTTGTGCTGTGCATTCAGTCTGTGAGCGGCTTCCTCTGCCGGTCCTCGTCTTAAACACCAAACAGGACCGTGCGCGCTTTCAGTCTGAAGCAAACTCCGCTCATCTCACACCATTTCCTTCAGCTTTCTAATTCATTCAACCCTCCAAGGCTGCGCATGGGCCTTCTTAAGCTGCCACCTGAACATAGTACGACCCCTGCGGAACCCCTGCCTGGGGCGGGGACTCTCAGCCCCTTCCCTGCAGCCTCTCCAGAGCCATTTTCTTGAGGAGTAGCTGCTATTTTTAGGGACCCTCTGTATGCTGAGCTCAGACGAAATGTGGCTGAGAGCAGGGCCTGTCGGGAAGCGAGAGGACGGTGCGGGGACAGCCCCACCAGACGGAGCCATCACGGATCAGCCCGCAGCCTCCCAGGCTCGGCCGGGAACCGAGCACCCGGAGCCAGGCTGCCTCTCCGCTCTGACCGAGGCGCTGTCCTGCCTGCCACGCCACACTGAGCCTCAGCGGGACCGGGGCTCGCACGGTGAACCGCGCCGCCAGGGGTGCCTCATGGCCCACGCTAGCCCCGCCGCCACACCGTGGCACGAGCACCCCACGGACCCCCCACGATCCCAGCACGGCCGCAGCGCCACCCCCGCCTTATGTAACGGAAGAACGCCGCCATTGGCCAGCGGGGCGGTGCAGCGCATGCGCAGTGCGGGCGCTTCGCTCCCTCCTCCTCCTCCTCCTCGTCGTGTCGGGCAGGCGGTGGCGGCGGCTGCTGCGGGGCCGCGCGGAGACTTCACCTCCCGCTCGCCAGGGCCGCGCAGGCCGCACTCACAGCCCGGGTGAGCCGCGGCGCTGGGCCCTCCGTTGGTCGGGCGGCCGCACCGACGGTGGGGTGGTGGGTGCGGGGACGTGGCGCGGCGGAGCGGAGCAGAGCAGGCCCGCCTCGGGGGAAAGGGGACGGCCCGGTAGCGAGGCGCGCTCCGCTCCCGGCCTGCCCAGGCCGCTTTCCCGCGGCTGGAGCTTCGCCGCCGGAGCTCGTTTCCTTCCTTGGCCCCTTCCCGCGGGGCACGTGGTGGGGCTGCCCGGGCTGCGGCCCCCCCTGCCCTGACAGGCCCTCTCGGGGCTCGCGGCCTCCTTCGGCTCCTTCGCGCCTCAGGCCGGGCCCGAGCCTGGAGCTTCCTCGCAGCGGTGTCGGGGCAGGGCCTTACTTGCTGCTGCGTTTGGCTGCCTGGCAGGGGGAGCCGGGGTATCTCAGGGTGCCGTTTGTTTCTGAAGGTGACAGCGGAAGCAGCTGTCTGTGTCCAGTTTTAGGGCTTGAGAAACTGTGCTCAGGTCCTGGTGACTTACAAGGAAATGACCCTGTGTGAGGCATTCACGTACTGCAGGCTCCAGCCTCGCTGCCTTGTGATGCCCGTGCTGTTGCTACTATGATTTAGCACTAATTTTTCCTGTGGTATTTGGCTTCCTATGTGCTCGAGGTTTTTTTTACTTGAGAACAGCAGGCTGGTTTGCAGGGCTCTTCTGAGGGTGTGCCTGATAAGGGAAGCAGTGCTTACCTGTGTTGTGCAACTGAAATACAGATTTAGCCTGGTAGATGAATTCATCGTTCTTTTAAACAAACTTTGGGATTATTTGTCACCTTTTAAAAATTTGGATAGTCCAAATAATCTTAATTTTCCAATAGCTGAGTATTCACTCTGTGTATCAACTGTATCAGTGTAATTTAAAGTATTTAAACCCTTGGATTTTTGGCCTCAGGCGTCATGTGGAGATTGATATTTTAAAGCAGATGTTTTTGTTCATGTTTTCTTGTTTGTGTCTTAACTAAAACCAGTAGTTGCCAAATGCATACATACAGTGTTGTTGGCTGTTACAGTATACTGCTTACCAAGCTCTTATCAAAGGACTAAATTACAAAGTAATAGCATCATTTTATGAAAATATGGTTGTGGGGTTTTTTTTTATTGCATCTTGTTATTTTCTATTAGGAGTTCCCTAACTTCTGGGAGAATACTGTAATGATGGTAAAATAGAACCAGAATAAAACCTACACTTCCTCCTAGTTTGCAGACTTACTGGGAGTATCTCCCCTGTTTTTCAATGGGAATGTAGTATTCTGGTTGAGCCGTGCTGTACGTAAACATGGCGAGGCCCTGGCTGGGGTGTTTTGGAGTAACTGTAGCATACCCTGAAGCATAAACTGATATATAGTTTGGTTAACATTCAGTGCTATGTCTTATGGAAACTGTTGAATGCCACACGAATTTATCCTTGTTAATAGAGTTTTTGTTTTCTTGTGTTAAATTTTGTTAACTGTCTGGACTTAAATATTCCTTTAGAGAAACTGATGGGGGAGGAGCAGGGAATGCTCAAAGATGCAGTGTAATGTTTCTGCTAAGTGTTACATGATGTTGTTATAGATCCAAGAAAAAGTTGGGAGTGTAGCCTGAGAGGTGCCTCTCAATCTTCAAGAGCTGCTTTGGGTCTCGGAACCATCTTTTTGCTCAGTGTTAAGCACTGTGATGTTACCTGAAAAGATGGAGAGAGGAGGTGGCTGGTTTCTTTTCCCAAGTAACAAGTGATAGGACAAGAGGTAACAGCCTCAAGCCGGACCAGGGGAGGTTTAGATTGGATATTGGGAAAAATTTCTTCACCAAGAAGGTGCTCAGGCACTGGAACAGTCTGCCCAAGGCAGTGGTGGAATCACCGGCCCTGGAAGCACTCAAAAACCGTGTAGATGTGGCTCTCAGTGACATGGCTTCGTGGTGAATTTGCAGTCCTGAGGTAATGGTTGGACTCAGTGATCTTAAAAATCTTTACCAACCTAGCCGATTTTGCGATTCTGTGTCCAGAAATTCAGGCAGTACTAATGTATTTCCAGGTGTCCATGTTTCATAGAAACTCAACAGTTTTAAGGGCCTTTAACACATGCTTACTGGAGGTCAGTCTTTGTTTGAACAGGCTTTTCTCCTTCTGTCCCCATGGAGGGGAGTGCGAGGGGAGTGCATGACAGACCTGTTATAGGCACCCAGTGTGACTCATGCATGAGTACCAAACTTGCAGCAAATGCCCAGGTTGCATAGAGGGGCAGTTACCAACCAACCAGCCAACCTCCTGTGAACATTTGACTTCACTAGTCCTGGAAACAACGGACTTCACTAGCTGCTGCCCTGTGCTTCTGTAGCAGGTCTTGTGCTTCTGTGAGAGCTGTACAACTGGATTGTGCGTGGGCTGTGAGGGACTGGGAAAGATAATAGCAGAAAGTGGGCTGCTGGGTTATATAAGCATGCTCTGGATTCTGCTCGCTTGCTGCACCCAAACCCTGCCTGGTGCCTGCTCTGTGGGTGGGCTGCAGGCTGAGTGGGGTGTCTGGGTGGGCTGCAGGCTGAGTAGGGTGTCCTGGTGGGCTGCAGGCAGGCAGAACGTGGCATTGGTAGCATACGCTGGTTTGCTGCTCCCTGAAGTGTGATTTCTTTGTGCCTTGTTTCTTCTGGTGAACCTTCTAAAGGTATATGGCAGTAGTGTTTGCTTCCTTTATGCTCCTGTGTTACATAGAGTAATGGCTTCCTATGGGGGCAGCTTTATTTCTTTTTAAGAAGTGTGTGCATGTAAAGTTGGCTAATAATAAAAAAGAGTGGCCACCTGTAAAAATAGCCTTGAAGAAAGAGGGGTGATCTATTGTTCTTGGCATTCCCAACTCCAAAGCAGCTCACAAGCATGTATACCACAAGACAGTAATAACAGCTTGGATAATACTTTGATTTGCCTTTCTTGGAACCTCTTTCAAGTTCCAGAAATAAAGGTTGAGTCTTAAACTTAAAAGAACAAAACCCCCTAAATTTTATTGTACTTGTGGAAATAGAGAATAAGTTTCTGTTAACTGTAAAGGAAACTTCAGTTATTCTGACTATTGAAAATACTTTTCAAAAGTAGACCTTGAAGCTTTGTAGAGGAAGAAACCTTAAAATGACCTATTAATTCTGGTGTGTATTTTAAGAACAATACTAAAACCAGAGTTTTTATATAGTAAAGAGCTTGAACAGATGTCTGTTGTATGAGAGTTATGGGAGTTGTAGGCCTCATGGATGAGCACATGACTGCATTATGCTCATGGTTACAGCTTCTCAGTCAGCTAGCAGTAGTAGTTTCTCACATCTATAGACTAAATGTTGTCTTTTTGTTTGTAGATATGGCTCGTGGACAGCAGAAGATTCAATCGCAGCAGAAAAATGCCAAAAAGCAAGCTGAGCAGAAAAAGAAACAAGGACATGATCAGAAGGCTGCAGCCAAGGCTGCCTTGATATATACCTGCACTGTCTGTAGGGTAAGAGGAACCAAATATTGTAGGCAGGTCTGTCTTCCAGCCTAGAGAACTTTTAGAAGAATATATAGCAGGAACTCAAATACTTTTCAAGTGGCTGTCTAGCTCACTGCTGGAAACATTTGCATGTTATGTGACTTGCTTAAAGATTACTCAGCTGTACTGATAATTGAGATGGGAGAAAACGGGAGGGGTCACATACCAGATCTGTTCTGGGTGGTTATCTTGACTTTTGAATTGCAGAGGTCTGCATGTGCTGTTAGTATGAGGTATAAAATGTAAAAAGTGTGAGATCACTTCCTGTTTAATCTCCAGATGGGAACATCTCATCTTTGTGATGGAATTGGCCTGTCTTAGAATCCCTACTCATGTAGAGAGGAAGAGTGGTGGTGCCAAAATCTTTAATGTAACTTCTAGTTGAATAAATGACTTGACAAGAGAACACAAATGTGAGCACTAATCAGATTATACTTCTGGCTAGTTTTCCTGAATGGTGTCGTTTTGGATCTAAATGGTAAACTTGCCATTTTCACATAAATGGTTGGTCTTGGAGTAGATTTGTCACTTTGAATGTCTTAAATAAGGTTCCAGCATAAGCTGCTCACTTAAGTACTTGTAACCAGTTTCTCCTCTTGTGAAATTAGTCTGTGGCAGCAGTCACTTTGGGCAGCTGATGCCTGCAACTGTAGTAGCCTGAGGGAGCTTCTGCCAAGTAGAGAATCAGTCTGTGCCCCTTAACTCTTGGCCTGTTGATAAACAAAAGAAGGAGCTTTCATAAAGATTTGATTCTAAAAAGAACAAATGTTTATCTCTTAGATAGGAGGTAGGTTTCCCACCAAACCAGCTTATGAAGTGTAGGATCTTCAGGGGACTTCTAGCAAGAATAATACTGTTGATGAACATGCCAAACCAGTGTGATACTAGTGCTTAAAAGCACCTCTTTGAAAATCTGAGGTTAAATAGTCTCTTAAGCTGTAGCTGAATTAATGGTGCTTCTGTCACTAGAGCAGTGTCTTTGAGGAGACAGTTTGCTTGAGGAAAAAGAAAACAAAATGGGGAGGGGGGAACAGGTTTTGTAGTATTTTTTAACTCTTGTACTGTGCATAAAGTTAAATTTCTCTCTTTAATCAGACACAAATGCCGGATCCCAAGACCTTCAAACAGCACTTTGAAAGCAAGCATCCTAAGACTCCACTTCCTCCCGAATTGGCTGATGTTCAGGCATAAGGTTGTCTACAGGTCATTACCTTCATTTTTAAAATGACTGTCTGGGAATTAGAAATTATTCATAATATTTTTACCAGCAGCTGAGACTTAAAACTCGTTTTGTTTCCTTCAGTACAAAAATTAACTGTAAGCTAAAGTTATGCCCCTGAACTGTTAAACAGGAGAAGCAAGCTAATACCTAGGTGAAATGGCTGTGGCTCTTTACTGTGCGTGGAGGTTGTTTTAAAAGGGATTAATGTTACTTCAGATGGTCATCTTTAGAGTTGTAGGAATAGTCTTTATTATTTAGTTCTTGCTTTGAAATGTCAGTTTTGCTTTGAACAAAACACATCATAAATGCAATCTGTCTGTGACTGCAAAACGTGTAATGGAAATAGTTGCTTAGAGTATTTCCGACAATTGAGCCTTTTTGTTCCTGAAGCTATGCAAGTGAATGCAAATTTTTCTGCATTCAGATACAAACCCTCTGTGTTAACTGTAGAAGAGGTTTCCCACTGGCCACCTGATGGGCTGTAACTGAAAGTGGTTATAATAAAAGGCTGAAATGAGGTAAAAAGCAGTACTGTGGTATTTCATTCACACAAAGGTGAGCAGCGTTGTGTAACGGTTCAGCTTAACTGAGTTATTCTTGTTTTTTGTAGGTGAAATCATGGCACCTATTGACTCTTCTACTGTCAGACCTTACATAACAAACCTGCAGCTGCTTTTCTAAAACTGTTGATCAGCAAAAATGAAGGGGCTACAGAAACATTCATATTTTTATGCTGTTCCCTCTTGGGCTTCAAGCAAAGACAATTCTGTGTAAATGTACAGTTGTGCCCTATTTGGAAATCCTGAAAAATCAGTCCATACTTGTTATAAAAAATTTTTTACAATTGTAATTATATTGATGTTCATATTGTGTAAAATAACTCATTTAATAAAGTAGTACTTTGATTTTACAGTATCACAGATTAAATCCTTGTAGAAGTTCTGTTTCAACTTCCTATATTATCTGCCTTATCATAAAAAAGACAAAGTGGAATTTTCCCCATCCTGCCAAAACATGAGCAGTATCATTCCACTGAAAGTAATGTACATTACAGTAAATTAATCTTAAGTAAAAAGGGAAGCTGCTCAGATTTACTGTTCAGTGTGCTGCCTGCTTGGGCCTGGTCACTAGTGGTCAAGTTGTTGGCTCAAAGCACAACAGACTCCCTGGAAGCTGCATTAGAGTACTGAGACTTCCTTCTGCATTTTTTAATCCTGTGTATTGGAGTCTAATACTGCAAGCCATTTCAAATGGAATTCTTTTACTGTGAGGGATCATGTTCCTTGAAGTCATGCACCGGAGAGACTCTGGTTATACCTGTTACCTGTAATATTTGGTAGATGGCTGAGGAAGCAGAGAGGTGGCAGGATTGATTGCTATAGGTATGCTGGCTTGAAAAATACTTGGCTAAAGAAACTCTGCTCTTAGTTGAAAATTTTTATTTGAAAAGATTTTTAATGCTATTTTGAGCAGTTAATCACACATGATCCCCCTCAAATGCATCAGGTTATTTCAGTAGCAACTCTTCAAGAAATATGCAAAATAGCCAGCCATTAATAACCTTTCTTCACAACCATTTTAAAATAAGCCTGTTGGAAAAAAGCCCAAGTAACTGAAATAATATGGCTGCTTTAAGAAATGAGATGTTATTAAAGTTCCATTGACATGAAAAAGCTGGATAATATGTCTCTGGCCAGGGACGTTTGAGCAGCTAACCACAATTACTCTTAAAGTGTTCTGGGCTCAGTTCTAATCCCAGGTGTACAGCACAGAAGTAGTGGAGAAACATATGAATTGTGCTAGTAGGTCTTCTACGCAAAATTCCATCTTTGGCATTTGGAGGGGGCTTATTTAAGAGCTTTAGGTTTGATCTTGCAGTAGGAAGCAATACTAGAATTGCTGTGATTTACTGAGGTTACAATGGATGTAAAAATTCTGGCAATCCAGGTAACCCTTTATATGCAGCAGGACTACATCTGACCTTCAGATGGCTTCCTAAAATCTAGGACCATAATCTCAAAAGACTCATTCACTTAAAAGAATGCACTTGGTATTTTATTATATAAAGTCAAAGCCTTTGTCTTCTTCCACTCATTTGCTCCTTATTGAACTACTGTGAGACTAGCTTCCTGTCCTCTTTGCTGTGACAGTATCTCTGTAAATACTTAATTTGGCATAAAATTTCTCTGTATTATAGTCACTCCAGGATAACCTGTATATCGCTTAACTTTTATAAATACAACATTGTTCTCCTCTTGAGAGTAATCCGCTACTGCACTTGTACACCTGACATCAGAATGTAATGCTTCATTTATTTCTCTTTAATGTTACCAATACGTACATCCTGACAAACTGACTCCCACAAGGCAAGAAATCTGTTCTCGACCTTTGTGCTGTGTGTGGGAGAGATCCTTAAATGTTCTGATGCTGTAGTTTGTCTAAAAATATGCTCAGTGCAAATGGATAAACATATTTCTTGCACTGATTGGTATTGGGTAAATCTGGTTTTACTCTGGAAAATGATCTGGGATGTATCCCTATAGCTTTGTCCTGAGGTGAAATATATGTTCTATTCCTTCAGTTTGGATTGTGTAGCATTAAATAAAAAGGGTTTGTTTTTTTTCATAAGCAATGTCTCTTAGTGAGCACCGAAGAGCTGCATCACTAGTGGGATGGTTTATTTTAGTTAGAGTTGTGTTTTTGAAACTTTATGATGCTCAAGTTGAAAATGCCCTGTGAAGTGATGGGGGGGGTTTATGTATTAGAAGGCAAGGGTGATCCTCAGTTCAGTAACATCCTTAGCTGCAGTAGCTGCAATATGAAGTACAGAAATAAATGAAAGCTATGACTGAATTGTTGTAAAGGCTTTGTAACTACAGGGGGAATGCTATACTAAATGCGGGAGTTGTCATCATGTAGAATACCTGTGATGGTCCTTGTACCTGAAAGGTCAGGGGAGGGACTAGGACTTCTCCATCATATCTTCCTGATCTGAAGGATGGCGTCCTGTTACCTGGCTAAAGACACAGTTGTGCATTGTAATGTGTCTAATTAAAGAGAATTAAACAACTAAAATGTAAAATGTCATATTTCCTGCCTGCTTTTAAAAACGAACGTTATTGCACTTGGAAAATTAATTTCTTGGCTGTGGACAGTCCTGGAGCTTGAAGCTATCTAACTTTGCAAAAAATAGATGTGGGACATTTCCCAAGGTCCCTTGAGAAAGATTCATCTTTGTGCAGGGACAGCATTCAGGTAAAGATCTTATGTTGTCAGTATGGGCAGCAGCTGTCATGGATATCTTAAAAAGTTACTTTTGATTCTCAGAAGCCCACGTCTCTTCTGGGAATCTCCTCAAGTGGCAGCTGAAATCACATTTTAAGCAGGGCTTAAATGTTCTGAAAAAAAGTGTCACTTTAGATCCCAGAGTAGAAGTTGGCACGTGTGATTATGATGGGGCTACTGAGTAATCAAGAACAGTTTTGAGATCTGTTTCTTGAACTTAAGCTACTCTCTGTATATGTGCTTTACCTGTCTAAGGGTTTCTGGTTTCTTGCTGTGAAAAATCTGGAATAGAAGTTGAAGACAGTTGCTTTATAGCCTTAAGGAAATAAGCTGGCTTTATGCAATGCTCTTGAAACATCCCTGGAGACTGTCCCTTTTGGTTATTTGCTGTTGAGCTGAAAACACTTTAGCTCAAATAAAGCTAGTGATCACAGGCTGTTTGCAAACCACACAGTAATGAAGGAATTTGTAGCATTTCTGTAAACTATACTGAACTTTTCTCCACTGAACTTTTCTCCCATCTTGGTAAGCTGAGCTAATGGATGGAGTGCTTTTTAATCACTGAATACTTATAGGCTTGAGTTGGGGTCTGTTTTGTTTCCCATTTTCACAGAAACAAGTTAGGAAGTATTTGGCTTTACTGGAATCACGGTTTTCCCAAGGTCTGACCAGTAAACTCAATTAGTCCTACAGAATCCACAAACAAAGGTCAGCTTGTGTTTTTGTCTACTCAGGCCCATTCTGCTGGGTATAATTTAGGGGCATTTGGTTTACCTACGTAGAACCTTACAGGTTTCGCAGTGGTCTTTGGATTCAGCCCCAAAACTCAGCTTTGGACTGGTATTCAGCATGTGATTTTCCATGTTCTGTATCAGCACCAGCAGTGTTGCTCTAGTCTAGGCAGTGGGAAGGTGGCAGGTTCTGTTTGTGGAATTTCACTGTCCATTTTGAAAATTACTTGGGAATTTTTTAGTTCATTGTCTGTTGTGTTTTGATCTAGATAAGGCACAATAGAGACTCACTGGAGTTCTGTTACCTTACTAGCTTTCAAAGAAAGGTGCAAGAGGTTGGGTATATATTCTACAGTTCTCTTACATGGCTTTTAGCACTGGGGTTTCTGGGGAGAGAGGAATCCGTAGTCCCAACCCTGTTACCTGTCAGGAATATGTTAAAGCAGTGTCTCAGCTTTTTCAGGAAATAGGCACAGCTTTCCTCTGAAAAATACTGTCCGTTAAACCCATAAAGTTAAGGTCCAGACAGCGCTTTGATGGCACGGCAAATATATTTGTGTGTTCCCTCTTTGTAGGAAATCACATGTGCAAAACGTTTCTGGATGCTGGAGATCTTCCAGAGGAGTAAGGGCTAAGGGAAATTTCCAAATATTATCTAGTCCATCTCTTTGCCCTGAGATTGGGTCAAATCTGCCAAGACTGTATCTTGGAAGTGTTTCTCTAACTAAAAAGCTTCCATGTTAAGGGATCCCGTGACCCTGTCAACAGCATGTACCACTGTTGAACCATACAGCTGGGGAGTTAACCACAGTGAGAGTTTATCCGTGTCAGTTCAGTCAATTACTTACTGTGCTTGTTGGCAATAGATGTGGTGAATAGTGCCCTCATTTGAACATTGCTATCATGTTCTCCTTCTAGTCTTCTCATTTCAGTAAACCCAGTTAATTGAATCGCTCTTCATGGTTTCTAAGTCTGGCAATTGTTGTGCGCTTCTCTGGATCTTCTCCAGTTTGTGCTCTTAAAGCAGATGGTCCAAAACATGACCCAGTGTGCTGGCTAATGCTAGTGCAGCGTTGCTGGGACAGTTAACTTCTGGCACTTTAGTACTGTTGATACACACTGGAATTATATTTGCCTTTTAACGGCAGCATCATTTTGACTTGCATTCAGTTCCCAGATCTCCCTCATCCAGATCCATTTTGGTGCCACTACTCGGCTCCATTTTGTGGCTATGTATTTAGTGCCTGACGCATATCTGTTTCTAGTGGATCTCAGGCCAAATTTATCAAGATACCAGTATTCTAGAACTGTCTCATGCTCTTTACAGTTCATCCAAGTTCCCCATGCTGTCATGGGAAAGTCTTGCACATGTCCTGTTTATAGCCTGAGTTGTTCGTGAACACACTGATGGGCCTTACAGGATGCTGCTTTGTTATCTTCCCAGGTTCCCAGTAAGCCTTTGGCAATTGCTTTTTGAGAGCATTTTTGGACTGCTGTGATTCTCCTTAGGGTCAGTAGGGATTGGAGCCCTATGTTTCACCTTTGAGCACTTCACATAATGACAATGTCAAAGGCCTTTACCGCAACAGGGAGACTTAAGATCCTGTGCAACTGTGGCCACCAAGCCAGATTTCATGAAGAAGGAAGTGGAAGGTAGTGGAGTACTGCATAATTTGTTCCCACATTGGCTGGCTGTTGCTGGGTTCCTTTTCCAGATGTATTTACAAGGAGGACTCTAGAATAATTACTGTAGCCCTTTTCCAGGTTTAGGTTGACTGACAGTCTCCTTTTTAAATTTCTTGTGCATGTCCCACTGCTCTCTTGGACTTTTTTCTGTGCTCTTTGTGTTCTCAAAGGGCAACACTCGCAGTCCGTGCTGACGTGGCTGATTG